CCTCGGAATCCAATGAGACACATGTCACCGCTTTCGACATAGAACCACAAGTCGACCTCATGCAAAATCAACATGCTTCGCATCGAGCATTGTTGACTCAAATCATGCACATACGCGAGTCGAGCTCCAGCAGTTCATCATGTGATGAACAAGATTGTAGCCTCTCTGAGGCTGACGACAAAGAGTCGGTGCCCATCATGCTACGGGATGCGCTGGGCTTCGATGACCATACGGACAGCAGCGAAAATCAGGAGCCGTGCGACCTCTATACACAACATGAAACAACAGACAACGAGATGTCCCACCGATGGAGTATTAGTTCTTGGTCATCATCCCTCCACAACCAGCATTCTACAGACGAACAGTGCGAGCGCAGTGTTGATGACATCCCACCACCTCGCCATTCCGCTGATGGGAGTGAGTTTGCAACTCATTCATGTTCTGCGTCGTCCTGTACTCGGTCTGAGACTGGTTACCCGCCCGCGAATCCATTGACACAGATATCATTACACGACTTGAAGACAGAGGCTGTGCCACAAGCCAATCTTTATACACTGACTAGTGCCCCTAGCTTAGCCAGGCTCGGGGGCTGGGACTCCAAGCGAGTCAGTCAGCTCTACATCCAAGAGATCGCTAACGGCCGAGGGCTTGGTCTCCCCTTGCCGCCTATACGTGCTTCTCCGGAGCCCCAACAGCTAGCCGTTCATACGAAGGAAGACGACGGGTCTGAGGACGCGAGTTCGGTCCCTCATAGCACAGATATGCCTGCCTCTGAGCGGACCAGATACGCAGCCAGTCTCGTCATGCGGGACGACTGGGAGCATGCATCTCCTTCGATCATGGATTGGATGCAGGTTGCTGCCGCGGATGGTTCAACTCCGCAAGGCGAACGAAGCGATTCGGCGTCTAGACTAGACAATGCTTCCACGCCGCGGCTGGACACGTCAAGCGCCTGGGATCCATCGCAGCAAGGGACAGAAGGACGTCTCGAACTGGCACTCAACGTCCAGGTCCCTCAGGACTCGCATTTCCATGAACATAGCTTGACCCTTGGTCATAGGCAAGCGGCAACCGACATCGCGCAGCCACCCACTCAATATGATTCAGCCGCCACTATCGCAAATCAGCGTTTCAGCACCTATATCAATGGGATATTCTCTCCTTTGGACCCTATAAATAGCACAGGGAGCAGTGAAAATTCATCTCTGCAGCGGCTTGAACCGACGCTATCTCCGGAGACGCTGCACTCGTCTGCTACATCACTGGCACATTCAAGCTCTGAGCATCTCCAGTCCAAACCCCAGTCGCCTTCGCCCGAACAACGGCGGCTGAAGAAACGACGAAACGTGATCAAGGAGCTCATTGATACTGAATACACCTTTGGTCGGGATATGAAAGTTGTTGACGATATATATAAGGGAACCTCGAGTTCATGTTTGGACCTCTCTTCCGAAGACGTCAAAGTTCTCTTCGCAAATTCCGACCAAGTCGTTCAGTTTTCTATGGCTTTCCAAGACGCCCTGAAAGAGGCCGCGAAAAGTGTCTATGTAATGCCAAAGTCGCAAAGATGGAGCAGCAAGCGCAGTGCGCGACATCGCCAAGCTTCAAGGAACGAAGACAAATCAGATAACATGGGCCTCTCGGACCATGAGAAGGACCAAATGACATTCATTGGACAGGCTTTTGTGGCACACATTGGCGACATGGAAAAGGTTTATGCGGATTATCTCAAGAATCACGACGCTGCTAATAGAAAGCTCCAAACTCTGCAGCGAAACCCGAAAGTGGCGATCTGGCTCAAGGAGTGTCGTGATTGGGCTTCCGATCTCACAACTGCATGGGATTTGGACTCCTTACTGGTGAAGCCCGTACAGAGGATTCTGAAGTATCCTCTATTACTGTCTGAACTTCTCGACTCGACACCCAATGATCATCCTGACCGGACAGCTCTCATTACTGCTTTCGAGGAGGTTACCAATATCTCTGTCAGAATCAATGAAATGAAAAAGCGTGCGGATCTTGTGGGTCAGGTGGTCGGACGTAAACGCAAGGAGTCTGATGTTCGGACCGGCTTTTCCAAGGCTTTTGGCAGACGCACCGAGAAGCTGAAGCAGCAAGTAGGACTCATCGACTTGTTCGAAGATAAAGAATACGACAGCCTATCCCAGAAGTTTGGAGATAACTTTTTCCAGCTGCAGCTCGTCATGCGTGATGCAGAATCATACACAAAAGAGGTCCAGAGCTCAATGGATTGTTTCAACGAATTTGTCACTGCGATCGAAGGATTTGTCGATGTCGCGCAGTCGAATTATGTCGAGCTGGAAGGGAAATGGCGGGAGCTTAAAGTCTCTGTTCAGGCCATCATGACGGTGGCTTTACCCGACCATGTAAGTGCAACATCATGCTTAGGAAGAGTTGAACCTGTCGATCTCCATTACTAACAGGTGGCCATTCAATCATTCAGCTTGCGGTGGTCCGAAAAAGCGTCATCGATCCGATGGTCACCCTACTCAAGCTCCACGATGGTCCCCAGAGAGTGATGAAGAAGCGCGACAAGCGACTAATGGACTATGTTCGTTTCAAGAGCATAAAGGACCGAGGGGACAAGCCTGACAAGAAGACGACGGAACAAGGGGAACAATTCATTGCCCTCAATGAAACCCTCAAGGATGAGCTTCCGAAGCTCTATGCTCTCACTGCCAAATTGATGGAGGCGTGTCTGAAGAACTTTGTGCAGATTCAAACCACCTGGTTTCATCAATTGCAAAGAAATCTTGGATCCTTATTCGAGGCATTTCCAGAGGACATTCAAAAGATCGTTGAGAATTGGTCCTCCAAGTTCAACTATGCTGAAGGGCAGGTGCTCTCGCTTGGAAGCTGCAATGGATCCTTGCTCGCCGATACCATGAATCTTGTCAACTTCAACACGCCTTCGAGTGGGGCAACCATCAGCTCGCCTCGACGACCTTCCACGGTGAACAGTGTCAGCACGCGGATGGGTTCGACGGTTGAAGAATCGCCCAAAGCGTCTCAGGAATTCAGTATCGGCGGCTATCCTTTCCAGTCGCCCAGCGTCGACAGCCAATCTCAAGTGTCTTTGGGGCGACGTAGGGCAGACTCGACATTCTCCGGCCGTGCCCATGAATCCGCTGAAATCCCTAGAAGCCAAGTGCTTCAGCAAGTGACCAGCGCATCAACAGTGTCGCTTGCAGCATCCGGCTCTAATACTGAGTCATTCCCGAGCCTGCCCAGATTGAGCCTCGACTCCCCATTCTTAGTCGATGTCATTGGTCCCTCCCAAACAGAGACTAGGCCTGATGATGAACAACATGCGTCGTCGAGTGGCCAGTACTCGAACTTCTTCTCCTCAGCGATGCCGATGTCGGATAATCCACAAGAGAACACACCAATGGATCACGAGCCCCCGAAAGAGCCAGCAGTCCTTTTTCTCGCAGCCAGTATATACGAATTCAATATTGATCGCGCTCGAAGAGAAGCTGGTTACCCATATCTGACATACGTTGTGGGCGAGATCTTTGATGTCATTGCTGAGAAAGGCGAACTGTGGCTGGCTAAGAACCAAGATGATCCCGAGCGTCAGGTCGGCTGGATCTGGAACAAACACTTTGCGAAGCTAACGAACTAGAGCACTCGTTCTGCACGTTCACTCTGGTTACAAGTCTTACAAGCCTAAGGAACCATGTCTTGGTGCGACTCTTCCCCGGGCGACGACTCATTCAAATTTACAATCTCATGCCTCCGCATGTCATACACATCTATGATCTTACATGGTGGTACCTTTGACAGTGCGACATTGTTTATACTATTAATTTCCTCTTACCTGTCCTTATATTCCCTCATTGTTTTTGAGTTCAGCGCGTTGGGCGGGGATTTCATGTTGGCAAGTATTTTCTGCTTTCTCTGGTCTGGAATTATGCTTGGGCGCTTGTTATGATTGGATGAAAAGGATGTGGGGTGGATGGTTGGTGAACTTCATGCCATAGGCGAGATTTGCAGACGGTCATTTCTGTTAAAGATTGGTGTTGCTTCTGCTCAAAGAGCTTGCATGCATGCCTTTGAAGATGTATTTGTTTAGATACCCCCTCGATTAAGACGAAGAGATATTGTTTATTGTTGATGCGATCTTGCAAGTAAAGTATGTAGTACAGTACTATCTGTACTATCCCAAGCCAATGCTAAGTACACAAATATACGACTTGAATGTATTTATTTCCATTAAACCCTTAGAACCTGATACTAAGCCTCAGCCAGCTTATTCTTTGGGGGTGGATGCTCAGCCACCGAGGAGTGACGTGCATGGCGTAGCGGTGTGGCTGATGAGAAATCTCCTTGCTGGAATTTGCCGAGGATAACAACAGGCCCCTCCCTCCTCTTCTCTATCGCTAATGAAGTCGGGTCGATTCTCTCGTTAAATCCTTCCTTCTTGCCTGTGGGACCTTCATTTCCCGCCTTATGGTTCTCAGTCTGTAGCTTAATTCGACCTTATATTTTTCTAACCCCACATTCGCCTACTGTGCATGAAAACTAGAGCCCACTTTCGCCGAAGTCCGATTAAGCTGTTCAACCTTCGATTCCTTCTGCGTCCTCCGCCGCCTTAGCCTGCCGCCTATGAAACCAAATCGAACCCACTAGAGAGAGCGCGCGATTGTTATAATTAGACTCGCACTCGTTTGACGACTATCAGAATTAACTGCCACAATATACTGATAACTGCACCTCAAACAACCTACACCTCATCTCTAGACCCACCCGTGCGCATCGCCGTTGACCTGCATCTGCAGCAAAACCAAAGCACATCCCCCTCACACAATTGGACAGCTTATACTCGGGCTTGAGCCATCATAGCATACGTGCTGCGTGGCATTCCATTTTTCCTGTCGCCAAATCCAAGCGTGGACGGAGGCTGGGATTGCGACGGAGCTTTGTCTACTGCATCCGCAACGACACTGTGAGATCGGATCTAGTGACCAAGTCTCAAGATGCGGGACGGTGGCCTGGGAGGCAAATTGGTGAAGAGAATGAAACGATTCGGTGATACTGTGAGTTTCCTGGGCTACGGTCATACTCCGTGTCAGACATCTGGCTAATCGAGATGACTCCCCAACTGCAGTTAAACCCTGATGACGCGTACCTAAGCTGTGAGTTCATGCTACGGGTTCTTCTGGTGAATATTCGGTCGTGGCGTTGAGAATCCAACTAATTGGTCTTGTTCATGAATAGATCATGATATTCGATGTATGTTGCCTTCGTTCCTCGCAAAATCCGGAGAGATTCTGACCAGAATTCTAGTAACCAGAGGAGACATGCAATCTTTAAAAGATGACTGGCTCACCGATAATGTTCGTTGATATCATGTTGTTGGTCATTCATGCACATTGGTCGTGGCTGGTATCAGAGCTGACATGATATACCTACCTGCCTAGGTAATCTCTTTCTGGGAAGAGTGTGTTAGCCCCCGATTCTCTTCTCTCTCCGAATCAAGGACTGATGACATGCGCCAGATATCTCGAGCGGGAATTCCTCTCCCATTCCAAATCCGCCAATATCGTTCTTCTGCGCCCCAGCATGTCCTTTATGATTCTCCAGACGCCAGACCCTCGAACTCTCCGCGAGGCCCTACCGGACTTTTCCCGTACTACGCATGTTTTCCTGCCGATCAATGATTGTCGTAACGTCACCGAAGCCGAGGGCGGCACACACTGGTCATTGCTGCTCGTATCGATCGTTGACGGCCTCGCTTTTCATTATGATTCCCTGCCCCCTGGAAACTTCTGGGAGGCCCAGGCTGTGACGATGAAGTTAGGAAATTTGTTGAATCGGAATATCCGATACGTCCATTTGGAAGACTCGCCCGTTCAGGAGAACGGGAGTGACTGTGGGGTGTTCGTCTGCTTGAGCATGCGGTATCTCTTGTTGAAGCGATTATTGACAGCGAATACGAACGAGAAAGTCAGTTTGAGTCTAGGCGGAAGAAAGGTGGATGCGAGATCCGGCCGGAAAGAAATCGCGCGGATCATTGAGGGGTTCAGGAAGGAGGGGGAGAGGCGAAGATCGTATGTTTCCCTTGGTTTCGGTGCATTGTTCTCACGATACCCGACGTGGTTGCTAATGAATAGATGAATAAGGGCGAGTATGAGCCCAATGGGTCATAGGTCGACAAGTCCGCCTAGGATCGAGTGATGGGTGGTGTTTCTGTATAAATTTGAAGGGACGGCTTGGAGCTGTTGGGAGAACTCATATTAATAAGGGACGGAGAGGGGCGGTTAATGTTTTTACAACCCGTCCCTCCTCTCTATTCCGACTTCACTACATTGTTAGTTCATCATTACGCACCGCTACCCTCTGGCAGAGGAGGCTCTACAATCCTACAACCCCATGGCCGTCGGTTGCTTAGGTGGGATGGATAAAAGACGCTGAGCATGGCTGGCTGGCTGGCTGGCTGGATGGGCGTTCTTAACATGATCATCTTTGGCTTTTGCATTCTGTGTTTGTTCAGCAATGACATGATACCTCTGTTCTCTCGAGCCAGACTAATAAGCTATCTGAAATGCATATTAAGTGAGATATCACGGTTGACTTGGCCTTGTCTGTGCTTCGTGTCTCTGATGGTGTATGATTCGAGGACTAACTCATCCCATGTACAGTACCTCCTAGCCTTTCAGCCGAATGTACAGTAGATGCTCTTAAGACTTGGTGGTATAGAACCCGCTTCTGGTCCTACTGCTTCTACTGCTTCTACAGCTGTACCCGGCTTGACGACGAGTGTTCGCACTCAAGAGGCTGAAGATCGATGGAAACAAGCAGGTAGGTGTCGATTGAATAAGTTTACCACATACGGAGAGTCACTTGTATATACCAACGGAATGCTTGGCAGATTGACATTGACCCGCCGAGGTCTGTGCACGAGGCACGTGGTGGGTTGGGAAGGATTTCTCCTGTCATTTTCCCGAGCATAACAACGGTCCTCGGGAGGGGGGGGGGGGGGGGGGGTTGACCTCCTTTGGTTTTCTGATGTCGGGCCTGGGAATTCAGGGTGACTCGCTGTATCGTCTCGTCCAGATTGCGCCGAATGTAAGTTACCCATGGCACGGTGACCTATCAATATCACTTTTGTCCCCGAGCTCGCTGAGTTTCCAACTACTTCGTAATGTAATGATTCTCAATATCATGGTAGTCTTGAAGACAAAAGAATTGTCCTACAGTGGAGTAGGATGGGAAGTTACCGGCGGTGGGTTCCAGGGTATTTTTGGGGGGGGAACAAACACTCTGGCAGACAATAGGATAGCTGTAGTACGAGTACTATGTACATCAGCACGGACACGGCAAAGAATATGGGTAGTTGGATGGGATGGCGATCAGAAGTGACATCAATAGCACGTTTCGAATAAATAAGGTTACTTGGATCGTCGTCATCGGGGGATTCCTCGCCTTTTCTCTCCGACTCTCTTGTTCGGTGGAAGTGACAAGAGAGAGAATGGGAGGGATTGTGTGGGAAGAATAAACCAAGAGAGACTTTGTCCTGTAAGGTATGCTCATGGTATGCATGATCTGAGGTCCGAGAGAGAGGGAGGGAGCTATAACAACATCCGTATTTGGATTTGTCTTCCAACACTCAATACGAATAGGGAGGAGGAGGATCAGCCTTCTCGACTTTAATAGTCGTCGCCTTGAATAACTATACATAGGAGTCTAAACCTCACCTTTCCCCATGTCATGGTCGGTTGGGAGAATCGGCGATCGTCGTCATTAGGGGGGGAGGTGCATTCAAAATACGGAGTATTATACACATAGAAAGGAGGCTAAGTGTCTACCAACGGATGGAGTAATCTACGTACATAGTAGTACGTGGAAGAAATGCGTGTCCCTAGGTCCAGGTCCTGTACAAACCGGTTTGCCTTTTTCGCGGGGTGTGCAAGGTTTCCAATGTTCCTGGAACTCCACGTTTGCTGGCCCCTTATCCTGGAAGTACTACTAGAGTATAAGTAGCTGGTCGTCAGAGGCCTTACTCGATGTGGCTAGCGAGTACTCATACCTTATCACTGAACTAGTGTGGAGAGGAAAGCATGTACTTGATAACATACTGTACTCGGTACGAGTATGAGGAGCAGGAGTATAACGTAACGATGGCAACTATGTAAATAGTCTCATCCAACCGTACCCACTTGGACTGGGTGATCGGCGGGGGGATGATGTAATCGGATCATCCATCTGTGCACTAGTATGCTCATGACTTGCACAGTATGTGTATGTAATACACGCTCTGGGAGGCCGAGGGAGTACTATTCGTAGCTCGAGCGGGAAGTCGCGGGTGTCTATATTCGTTTTCTGAGAGTTGGTTGAAGGTTGGGTGAATAAGCTTCTATGGTAGTGGTGGGCGGTGGTGGCACTGTCTCGCATACGGTTGATATCATTCCGGTGGGGAAGAGCGGTGACGGCTGTGGCAAAAGGGGAAAGGAAGGGGAGTTAGCTTAGAAGTCATGACATAATTAATGCTAGGCACACGATATTGACGGGTGTTCAATGGAAGTACCTCGGTTGGTGGAAAGATGAGCAAGATGGGCGAGATAAGCAGAAATATTTGGTAAGGCACGCAATAAATAGCCGGATTAGATGGACAACACTGATACAGTTGTTCTATCAAGAACACTTAAAAGAAGGCTGCAATGCTTGAGATTGGTTTCACCCATACAAGACAACAAGACAAGAATACAGACCACGAACGCCGACCCAATGACAAAACCAGATTATGCGGAATACTCTGGGGAAACAAGCAATTGTATACACAGTAGACATAAAAAGACAAGCCACCCGAGCAATCCAGCGACGATCGAACGTGCCGGCCGCAATGGAAAGTCTATAGATAGATTGCGATCATCGTTCTGCCGGGAACATGCGTGATTAAGACAGGACTAGGATATATGTACCAAAGGGGATATGCGACGCCAATAATGAGGTATAGTAAACCAGCAGTCGATACATACACCCGCACATGAAGCCAAGCGATAGTGGGAAAATCGTTCACCTGTCGAAGGAGAACAGTGTGGATCGTCGATCCAAGAGCGAAAGGAAGCCCCGCGTGGCCAATTGTGTAGACCATCTAGGGTGGAGTAGGGGTTTGGCGAACCTCCGGCTGGTCAGGTCGGTGCTTCTCCCGGGTGCGCATGTACATCCCATCGGACTGAGAGTTCACTGCGGGAGGAGCGTGGATTGAACGAGGGATGCCCGACTGCGACTGCTGCTGCTGCTGTTGCTGAGAGACGATCTCTCGAGCATAAAACTCGACCAGCATTGTGCCATACGCTTCAAGCTCTTCCACAGGAATCGAAAGACGAAAGTCGTTCAAAAGAAGGAATTGGAGCTCAAGGTGGTTAAGTTCAACCAACGGTAATCCTCCAACCTGCATGCAGCTTTGATGTCAGTTCTGCTATGTAGATAATTGGATTAGGAGCGAAGAAGACGAAGATAAGTACCTTTGCATATCGTGAGTTGGTGTAGAAAACATCGGAGAAGAATTTACTGGCACAAGTCACGCCTGCGATGACCAGCCGATGAATGTTGAAGCTATCGACGATAAAAAAGTGAGAAAGCGCCTCTTCCTCGTCCTCGGCGTCCAGAGATGGAGACATGGATGACGGAGTGGACGGGTCTTCTTGGGCGGCGAAGCTGGCAGAAGATGGTGGAGTGGCCAATGGAGAGGCACCTGTCGCCTGTACATTTGACGATCGGAGCGACTGGGGCTGATTGCCATCAGTCCTCAGCATGGAAGCCGATCGGGCCTGGCGACGCCGTAATCGCTCAAGTTGCGACCGGTTGACGAGCTCCGTCATGCGATCAAAATACACCAGAAGACTGAGGAAGACTTCATAAGTGGTGGGACAATATTTGTGAATTCTCGTCAAATAGCTGAGAATGCTGATGCTAGGTACATTCTTGCCATGAAAGGCAAGAACACTGGCGGCCTGTGGAGTGAGGTTTGAGGTCCCGTCGGGGGGTGGTATGTGGCGATGGATATGCTCATGGTGCATGTCGTTGGTCGTAGTTATCTTCGTCAAGAGCCCAGCTACCATCTCAATGATGTCCGTGACCGGCATGGAACTGATTTCGTACTGGCGCTCTTGAGGACCCCACTGTCCCGTCATCCGATCTCTTTGTGCCAACATTTCCTCGCTCGCAAAGCTTTGTATATGGGACAGATCGCGGACCTTGATGCGACTGGGCGAGCTTGCCTCCGAGCCACCTAATGAGCGCAGGGACTGATGAGTCGGCCTCAACTGCGGTGACGCGGGGGATGAATGACTTCGGTTGTGTTGCGTAGATGCCGCGGTCGCGTGTGCATGGCTGGCGCTGACATGAGGGGCATACGTGTGAGGCGCGGCATGGGTGTGATTATCGAAGCGAGATAGATGGCTATCGCTCGTGGTTGTGGTCATTGATGCTGAGTTCGGGTGGGCGCTTGTTATACCCGAGATGGTTGATGACGCCCGCGATGAGGGGTAAGAATTCGAGTCGGAAGGGTGATAGATATAAGGCGGAACATCCTGGGTGGTTTGGTGGGAGGGGAGGCGAGCTGAGGCGGATGTTGACGGCGGGGCTGTGGACGAGGTGGGGGTGGTATTAGACGATGCCGACCTAGAGCCGCCGCCGGTCTCCAGACGTGACGAGGGTTGTTGGAACGAGGCTTGGGTCTGCGACGAGGATCGATAGCCAGATTCCGAAGTAGGTATGGCGCCCCCCAGCATGTTGTAGGAGGATGTATCAAGATGATCCGATCGCGGATGATTTACGATAACGGATCCCATGTCAGGTTTAAACAGAAGTGAGGGTAATTTATGGAAGGGCGGACAGTGGTCGGGGTTGAAATATTGCAACTAGAGCCCAGGCCGGCGAGCAACGGTTAGCGACTGAAGACGACAGTAGGGTCATTGAAGACCAAGGAAAAGGCCAGAATAAATCATAGGAGAAATTTGAGATCAGATTGAAGAAAGTAAGTAGAAGATGGTAGGAGGAGAGAGGGGGGATCTAGCAAGTAAAGAGAGAGGGAGAAGTACGAGATCCAGCGATTGATTGATGGGTTGATTACTTTAGATCGTTCAATGAGCGAAGGGGGAGGGGGAGCGCAGCGAGAGGAGGAGGAGAAGAAGGCGCAGGCGCAGACAGAGAGGGTCTGGATCTGGAGATGCGGCGAGTGAGGGTCAGAGCACTGGGGAATGCGCGATAAACCCGACCCAAGCCTGGAGCGGATAAGGAATCACAGGCAATTGACGGCGGTGGAAAACATGTCCATTGCGATGGGAGATGACAAGATGAATTGAAAGGGGATGAAGGTTAGCTAAAAAAAAAAATAAAGAAGAGAGGAGAACGGGTGGCAAAGAAAAGTGAATGGATGAATGGATAGGTAGGAAGTATGGCGATTGGCAATTGGAGAAATAGAAAATAGGATGGATGGGGAGAGTGAGAGAGTAGGGAGAGAGGAGAGGAGAGGAGAGGAGAATGGAATGGAGAATGGGATGATGATGTTGATGATGCAGCCGCAGCCGTAACAGCAGCAGTAGCAGCAGTAGCACCAGCAGCACCAGCAGCACCAGCAGCACAGCAGCACCAGCAAGAAGGAAGGGAACAAGAAACCCGGGCAGAAAGGCTGGGGTCCACCACGACGAGATCCAGAGCCACTCAGCAGCACTCCCTCTACCACCCAGCAAGACCCAGACCGACCCAAGGGTGGAGTTCTGATTTATTCAACGGGGGAGGAGAGGTTCCCTTCCCCGAATGCAGTAACCAAAGTAGCAAGTAGATGGATCGATCAAGCCGAGGACCAAGAATTCCCTCTCCAAAATCAAGGCAGCTGAGGTCCCGAATGAGATAAATGGATGGTAACTTACGAGTGACAGAGAAGAAAGCAAACATAAAATAAACTAAAATGCAAAAAAATCAAGAGGTAGGTAGCTAGGGAATGGACAAAGAAATAAGTTAGGAAAAAAAAAAAAAGAAACAAGAAACATTGGACAGGGTTGAGACGGAACGGACTGGATTATTATCATGAGACTGAAATGATCCGTCAATTGGGAGGTCGCTCGCTCTCTCATTTTTATCGTTCTCTCCTTTCTTCTCCGATCACCAGTCAAACATCCTACCTAATACATACTAAGGACGACTCAATTCCGAGAAGTTACCAGTCGAGAAAGAAAAATGCCTCGCATCGAGATGTTTCCGCATTGGACTATATCCGGGTCATTCAGCCGTTCTTGTCCATGCTCCTACTCCTGGGTTGAGCCTGCATCAGTACATCTTCACCTCCAGGCTCCAGTATCAGTAGTATCAAAGTGCTCCGTACTCCGTAGGTACTATACGTACAGACGAGTCCGCCCAGAAAACCGGAAAGGATAGTGGCAGTTGGGATCATCCTCCGTCTGAGGGGGGATGGGCGAATCGCGGCTCTGCAGAGGCGCAGGTGTTCATCATCGCTGACTGATTGGTGCTCGTCCCAGAAAACCCGCGAGGCCCTTCGACCGGTCACATCCTCGACCTCTACTACTGATACTGATACTTTAGTGGAGTAATCTCCGGTCTGATATAGCCGCAGCAGTACGAGCTACGAGATATCTACTACCTACACCACTGCAGGCCTACCTATTTAGACTTGCCTTTCTTCTAAGGAAGCCTAAGACGAGGTGGTACTTTGAAAGTGACAGCCCCTGACCGCCGGATCCGAGTGACAATTATAGTCAGGTCAATATCCTCAGTCATGGCAAACAGCCAACCTCCGATAGGAGCTCGATTCGAGCTGACGAGCAGTGGGTGAGGTCAAATCCCAAGCCAAGACACGCATATGATGAGCAAGCACCGCGCAACTTGCTAGAAGATATGACCGTGGTTTGCGAATAGTCCTTCTTCCTGACTCTCGGTTGACAAGACCACGCCTTGTCCTGATTGTCCAGAAGCAGGCTGATTTACCGCTTACATTGGCGGCGAACTCATGCCTAGAATGAGGCTATCTTCAGTGCCAGGGAGAAGGAAAGGTCATGTTGATCGACAGCTAACAACGATATGAATCATCACTCCAAACGGATACACTCATTAGTTGGTAACACCTGGGCCAGTGTAACCCGTGTCCGGCAGGTAGAGATGTCGCTGAGCGCCCTTGGCCGTCAAAACCACCATCCGGATCACACCGCCAGAGCTACCATCCCACTTGATCGCCTCCTGCAGAGCTGACCGAACAAACTGGACGCCTTCTTCCTCAGTCATATTCTCCTTCCAGTTTGCATCGCAGTAGCCGTAGATATAGGTTGAACCAGATCCGCCGATGGAGTACGATTGCTTGTGGAGGGATCCGCCCAGAGGTATCGAGTAAACTTGTCCTCCGTGCCGAGGATCATATCCAGCAATAATGATGCCAGCACTAAACATTGCCATAGTCAATAAAAGAGCAATTCTCGTGGCTCGGAGGGGCACAAAGAACTTGCCTTAGCATGTCCTTGTTCTCATAGCACAGCTCCTGGAACAGTGCGGCGGCAACCTGAGTGCTTGGCGCCTCGTTGTTTGTGATCGAGTACATGTTGAGATGGTAGGATACAATATCAGCCACAGCCTGTGTGTCAGCGGCCGACCCCGAGCGGCAGCACCAAATCGTGTCATGCACCTGTGTCAATTTGTCGGTAACCCGGTTGGCGATGTAAGCTCCAGTGGTCGTTCGGCTGTCGGCACCCAATATAACACCGTCCTTGAAGTTGATTGCCATACTGATGTCGGTTAACAGGATGTCGTAATCATGTAGGGAAAGTCTCACTCACATTGACGTTCCGAGGCTGGACAAGCATGGTATATCAGTTAACTGCCTCACACGAGTTCTTGAATCCATAAACTCACTTAACTTCACCCTTCTTCAGGTGGTTCATATCGACATGAATACCATCTATGAGAGCCGTGAGCTTTGGCATGACGTCCAGTAGATGAGGTTACCACTGACCTTCACCGAGCATCCCCGTCATGCCGTGACCGACCATACTGACTGACGAAATTGTGGAGGTTGGGGAATAGGTAAGGGTATGTATATTGACTGTGTGCCAAAGAACGGTTTATATGGAGGAAAATCGAAGATATGAAAATTTATGATGATTGCATTCAAGAAGTATCTGGCTGAAGGAGTTGATGGATATGAGCTCTGACGGAGCTCTGAAGGCAGGCGAGCGCGTTACGTTGCCAGCAGCTGGAGCTGGTTCCGCCGGGCGGTGAGACAGCGTATCTTTCCTACTGGACAGCTCCCCATCCCCCGCAGGTCTCCTGAACGACTCCCCCCCCCCTCCAGCCATCACTTCCGATGAAACGAACCGACGCTTTAATTTCCGCTAGACCAGTATCTGGCCGCCTGCGAAGCTCACTCGCATTATCATCCTTGCCGTTTATATTCGACTTCTTTGTCTAGGGGTCTTTGATAGCTTCACTTGCTTGATCCAGTCCCAACTCGCAACGCCGCTTTGTCGCATCGGCTATACTATTCTGTTCGCTAGCATGTCTGAGTCGCCGCCTCCACCCTCGTGGACTATCGCCAGCATGGCCAATAGTGCCGTTCAGTTTCTGCGCCTGCCGGTTTTGGCCTCCTCTGGTCTCGCCGTGGTGGCCAGTGGTCTGTTGTACTTTAAGCAAAAGTAAGCAGTGACCCGCATTTGCGCCTGGCTATGATGACAGCGGTGCCTGAGATCTAACCCCGTGCGCAGTGAGCTGATCTATCCTCGAAATGTCCCTGTCGACGCCCGGACCAATGTCCCCAAGCCACAGCAATTCGGCATCACAGATTACGAAGAGCTCCATCTTCCGACCCCGGACGGGGAAACACTACATGCCCTCTTCATTCGTCCTACACGGAAACGCATCGCTCAAGACCTTACAGTGTTGATGTTTCATGGGAACGCGGGTAACATCGGCCATCGTATCCCTATCGCCAAGATACTTCAGGAAATTCTTGGTTGCAATGTGTTGATGTTGGAGTATCGCGGCTACGGCCTTTCGACTGGTACTCCAGATGAGGCAGGATTAAAGGTTGATGCGCAAACCGGCTTGGATTATCTGCGACAAAGGGCCGAGACCAAGGATAGCCAGATCGTTGTATATGGACAGAGCCTGGGCGGAGCGGTCGCGATTGACCTTGTGGCCAAGAACCAAGACAAGGGTGCAATCGCTGGCTTGATCCTCGAAAATACCTTCCTGAGCATTCGCAAATTGATTCCCACGTATGTTCGGCTTGACCCACCGCACACTTCTTACCTACAGGTCGATGGCGATTTTCTGACTTTTCTTAGAGTCTTTCCACCCGCACGATATCTCGCTCGTTTATGCCATCAATACTGGACTAGCGAAGAGGTTTTGCCTAAAATCACGAAGGTGCCTATTCTCTTCCTCAGCGGGCTGAAGGATGAGATTGTACCGTAAGTGTCAACTGCCTTTCTTCCACAGCTCCCCAAAGCTAACAAACTACCTAAACAGACCGTCCAACATGACGCAGCTTTTCGCTGTCTGCAAGTCCAGCCGCAAAGTCTGGCGTACTCTTCCCAACGGTGGACACAATGATAGTGTCGCTGAGCCGGGGTATTTTGAACACATTCATTCCTTTGTCATGGAAGAGATCGTACGACATGATTAGTGAACAATTGTTCAACAGTTGTGCATCTCCTTATCTCAATTATCGGCGAGTTTGTTGTTTCTGTGATGATATCATGTGTGTTCAGCACCGGTCCCGAGCCTTCGATTGATTGCTCGGGATGCCGTCGGTTTTTGCCTTTTCTTGCTCAGTTTATTGTCCTTTGATTTCCCCCTTACGTTGTATTAGAGTGGTGTTTCGGATGCTTCTTCTTCTGGCTGGCTGCCTTCGCGTTTATTTTCAGGATCTTATGTCTCAACTAAACATGGGTTGAGGATCCGCCTGTGTTCCAAGAGCAATTTAGCCCAATACCTAATGAAGACAACTTATTTTTTTACCGGGCGGTGTCAGATAAATCATGTAGTCAGTATTCGCTCCAATTGTCCCTTGAGTGAGTTGCTCAGTACCATTGGAGGGGTGACCCGCTATGAGTAATCTCACTGGCAGGATGAGTCGAAGGCGCAGCACTAGACCAGCATGAGTCATGCTGCAGGAAAAGCCAGGGTGATCTGAACCTGACAGCTTTCCAGGCCCTTGATTATACATGAGTACATGCGTCCGAACCATTAAGAAGAGTAACTCCGACGTAGCGAAAGTTGTGAAGTAATTGGAAGTGTGAAGAGTTCCGACAAGAGTCCTGACCAGCTCTCGGAGGCAAACCGCCGCCACCCGAACCACATTCACCCGTTCGTGCTTCAGGAACAAAATCACTGTTTGAGTTCCACCAGTTTCTGTTGGTTTTTAAGTGGCGCCCCCCTGCCTGATCTGAACTCGCCTTCGGTTTCCTTCTATAGCTATATTGGAATCGATCAGCTCACAGATTTTCATTCCACTCGAGCGGAAGCCCATCTTCGATCTTTTCGCGGCAGTAATCTCCTGCTTCTCAAGCTCCTTATCAAAGACCGATTGATCTACGCTTTCCCTATTTTGTACTCGGCCCTTGATTGGTGCTGTTGCATGGACGTGCTTTCTCCGCGTGCAATTTCCGAACTTAACGCCTCTGTAAGGACCTTGGAGCCAACGATGTCGAACTCTCCAGCCCTCGTGGCAGACAACAACAGCACTACCCCGCGCACGAGGTCCAGACGCGGAGGTAGAGGCCGTGGTGGCGATCGCAGTCGTTCTCACAGATCTGCACCACAGACACAGGCACAGGCACAGGCACAAACACAATCTCAACAACAAACGACAGCACACCCGGCTACGAACCCCCCATTGCAACAGAACGAACCTTCTGCGACACAGACTGCGCCCGACACAAACCATCCACCAAGAGGACCGAGGGGAAGCCGAAGAGGGGCGAGAGGCGCAGGCGCACAGTCGAATGGAGGCCGACGACATGGTCGAGCACGCGGCGGTGCTGACCACTCAGCGGTCACTACTGGGGGGCGAAGATTCGAGGGTCGACTGACCAAACCAGAGCAGTCAGAGGAGACTCAAGATGTCGATCCCCAGAGCGCAGGCGCGGAGGACATTGCTGGATTGAGAGCAGATGCGCCAGCATTCGTCCCAGGAGGGCCAGCCGGAGATCTACCTCGACAAAGTGGACGTGCTCCTGCGAGTGGAAAGGGCAAATCGAAAGCGAAAAACCCAAGCCAGCCTCGATCCGCGCCCCCTCCGCCTGCGCCCAAGATTACGACGAAATCATCGGCACCGGACATTGCCACTCGAATCCACGAAGACATCGCTCACAACCTCTACGAATGTCCGATATGTACATCTGAGTTGGGCAAACGGTCTCGTATCTGGTCCTGCGGATTGTGCTGGACGGTTTTCCACTTGAGCTGTGTGAAGAAATGGTCGAGGAACGAAGGCGCGGCGGCTCAAGATGCGGCGCGTCGCCGGGGCGAGGAGGGCGAAAGCAGCGCTCCTCGTGCTTGGCGCTGCCCGGGCTGTAATCTGCCGCATGAAGTGTTTCCTTCCTCTTACTCCTGTTGGTGTCAGAAGGAGGCTGACCCACGCTCATTTCCTGGTCTCCCGCCCCATTCGTGTGGACAGACCTGCGCGCGATCGCGAAAAGGTTGTCCACACCCTTGCGATGCGACGTGCCATGCTGGTCCATGCGCTCCTTGTACTGCTATGGGTCCGACCCAGGATTGCTTTTGTGGGAGGAACTCATCTACGAAGCGTTGTCAGGACACCGACTACGATAATGGATGGAGCTGCGGCGAGATATGTGGTGATCTGCTACCTTGTGGTGAGCACACCTGCCCGCGGCCGTGCCATGAGGGCCTCTGCGGTGCCTGCGAGGTCAAAGTCGATGCGCGCTGCTATTGCGGGAAATCGCAGTCTGAGATGCTCTGCAGTTCCAAAGATGAGGAGTTGGATAGTGAAGCCCTGCGCATTAGCGAAGACGACGGCGGGGGGGAGCTTGAAGAATGGGTTGGATGTTTCAGTTGTGGTGATCAGTGCAATCGACAGTTTGATTGTGGGCTACACTCGTGTCAAAAGTCCTGTCACGCCCAGGATGCGCATCCCGCTCATTGCCCCCGATCGCCCGATGTCGTGCTTTTCTGCCCGTGTGGGAAAACATCTCTAACAGACGTTGCGGGTTATTCGCCCCGAACTACTTGCGAAGACCCCATTCCCAATTGCTCGAAGCCTTGCGGGAAGTCCTTACCATGCGGACATTCCTGCGAGCAAGTCTGCCATACCGGACCGTGTGGGCCTTGTTTGCAGAAAGTCACGATCCATTGCCGATGTGGCCGCAATGACTTCCGGACGACTTGTTTCTCGGGAGACTTTGAGCCACCTCAATGTTTCCGTATATGTAAAGCCGGCTTGCATTGCGGTCGCCATGCGTGCGCGGAGCGCTGTTGCCCCGGCGAACAGAAGGCAATCGAGCGTCAGGCTATCCGGCGAAAGCTCAAATCCCATCTTCGACCAAGCGATGAGGATTTTGAGGCTGAACATATCTGTACCCGGGTCTGTGGCCGTATGCTGAAATGCGGGCGGCACACATGCCCGGAGATCTGTCACAAAGGGCCCTGTAACACTTGCAGGGAGGCAATATTCGAAGAGATCCCGTGTAACTGCGGTCGATCTGTCTTGTATCCGCCTCTGCCCTGTGGGACACAGCCTCCAGCTTGCTCACACCCCTGTGAACGCGTTAAACCGTGCGGTCACCCGCAGACGCCCCATAATTGCCACACCGACGATGAAAATTGCCCGAAATGCCCGTTCTTGACGGAAAAGGCGTGCCTGTGCGGCAAACGTGTGCTGAAGAATCAGCCGTGCTGGCTTGCAGATGCACGGTGCGGACAGATTTGCGGCAAGCTCCTCAAGTGTGGCTCTCATACTTGTAAGGGAAACTGTCATCGACCGGGTGATTGTGAGGATGCTTCCCAGCCTTGTCAGCAAGCTTGCGGGAAGACTAAGTCGCTGTGTGGTCACCCCTGTTCTGACCAGTGTCACGCTCCTTATCCGTGCCCCGAGAAAACCCCCTGTTCATCCATGGTCGCAGTAACATGTAGCTGTGGACGACTTCGACAGGAGCGACGTTGCAATGCAGCCAAGGCTGTTGTGACCAAGGGCCACCTCCAGCAGGCGCAGCGACTTCCATCGGCGTCCCCGCTGGCGTGCGACGAGGAATGCGCCCGCCTCGAGCGTAACCGTTCTCTGGCGTCTGCGCTTGGCGTCGATATCAACCCGACGACGACTGTTTCTCAGGCGCTCACCTCCACCAACCTACCCTATTCCGCTGAAACTCTCGATATTTACCTCCAGCTTTCATCGTCGTATCCTCTATCCACTCTACAGTCCTACGAATCGACCCTCCACAGCCTCGCCACGAACAAGAATCCAGCAAACCGCTCCACCCGCTTCCAACCCGCCAAATCTCCCCTCCGTGCCTTTGCACACTCCCTCGCCGCTGACTGGGGCTTTGCCAGTGAGAGCTTCGATCCGGAGCCTCATCGCCATGTGTTTGTTCTCAAACCCACTGCCTGGACTCCCCCCCTTCTGGGCATGGGAAACGGTACCACCATTGGTATTGGCGGTGTGAGCGTCGGGGAATGCGTCAAGTTACGTGATCGCCAACGCCTCAAGGAACAGGAGGAGCAGCGACTCGCTGCAGCGGAAGCAAAGGCCCAGCGCGAAGCTGCACGGGCCCAGCAGAATGCGAACGGCGAGGGCGGCTGGGCGCAGGTCGCAGCTTCAAAGAGAAGTAACGGTCTTGGTAGCTCGCGGAGCAGTACGCCTGGTCTCCAAACACCTGGTGGCAGTTCTTGGTCTACAACTATGTACTCTGCTCTTGCGGGTGACGATGGCAGCGCTTCATGGAATTCCCCCGCTCCGTCCCAACCTCAAGCTAAGAAGGAGAAATTGGTGTTGCGGTCGGGTGTGAAGCAAGTGAGGACTTCCAGTGCGATTCTTGATGCGAGTCGTGGCGAGTCAGTGCGGGATCCTAAGTCGGATGGAGAAAAGGAGGATGCTTGATCTATCGGCTTGCTGGAAGAGCCACTTTTATCTCTTGCATACGCTAACAACCTTCGAATGATGCCATGTGCGAGGAAATGACCTCTTCCGGACTTACTTCAATCTCTCGGTTCCCCTTACCATTCGCTTTGACTACTTGAAAACGTTCACGACTTTAATGTTTTTCGCTGCTATTCAGCTTTTTCTATGGTTAGCGTGCATAGCTGGCCGGTCGTGTGCTTAGTTAGAAAGACCAAAAGTCGATAGAATCGGGATTTGGCAAATCAATGTCACTCTGTGTCTATTTTGAGATATAGACATGCTCTGATATTCAGGGTATGCCGTGATCTATCGCTAGTTTTGTCTTATAGATATATGGTATACCTAGGAACCTAGCTACAAGTGCCTCAGACATCTATACAAAACAATGTGATACTCGCTGTAGTTGGTTAGCCAGGCTGACGTACCTGGCTGTAACGTTATGTACCTGTACTGTACCTGTACTAATTTAAGCATAAGCAGACAGTTAGTCAGCCCCAGTGAGCTGACGAGCAAATCAGAGAAGACTACTTGGGGCTAAGGCCGGCTGCACCTTCCCAGCCGGCCGCTGCTCGGCACCAACTGCCTCTCCTCTATTTATTCCCTGGAGCGCAATCATCGCCTCAGCTCGTGGTATGTTATTTCCATTTGTTATACGGAGTATTCCGCTACTACATGAACTACCAAGTCTCACCAAATCGGTCCCATCCAGACTTGAAAGTTTCAAACAAGTTATTTAATCGCATCGAACTGCATCTGCAACGAAGCATTTCGTTTCACATTCCTACTACTACTATCCATTCCGGTTCGCTCAACCGACCGTATGATACAGTAATTGTTGTCTTGACCGGGAGAACTTCAATTAGCCCCGAGGCATCCAATAGCTTTCTACTCTCCGGAGGATCACAGCATCATATCCCACCGCTGACTCCGTATTAAGTTTTGATCGAACTTGAGTCGAGCCTAATGCCCTCGCGCCGCAGCCACACCAAATCCCGGAAGGGTTGCATTCAGTGTAAGAAGCGACATGTGAAGGTTTGCCATTTCTATCTCATACTAGCCGTGGCTGTCCTTGCGTGCTACTATCTCAATCCCATCTTCCCGCCAACCGGACACCCTGGGATCTACTCACCGGCCGTTCAGTCTCTGCTTTCGACCAGAAGTTGACAGTTTAGTCGCTGACAGTAGTGCACAGTGCGATGAAGAGACGCCTCGATGTGGGTTGTGCAAGAAGAGAAAATTGGATTGCACGTATCCGTCCAATGATGCGGATGGTCAAAACCCCTCCACACCACATGAATCACCCGAGGCGGTATCCGGCCCAGAAGCAGATTCGTCGCAGACCCGAATGCTCGAAATGAGATTATTCCATCATTACCTTACGGAGACATACATCACTCTCTGTCAAGGTCGCCTCGACGCACATCATTTCCAAGTCGTCATCCCGCGAATCGTGGTGTCCCATCCATTCCTGATGGACAGCCTTTTGGCACTATCTGCTCTTCATCTTGCCTATCTGGAGCAGCATGACAACCGGTCGTGGCTGGAAATTGCTCTGAAATATCAGAGCCGCGCCTGCTCAGCCTTTAGTCGAGTCTTGGCGGACATCTCCCCGGAGACTTGTGGGCCAGCTTTTATCTGCTCCATTTTCATCATGCTGTGTGCAACGGCGTATCCTTGTGTTTCCGAAGACAGACAGACATTCGAGCCGTTGTCTCATGTACTAGAGATTCGCCAGCTCATTGCTGGCTGCGCACTCTTATTTGTGCAACTCAACGGCATGGAGTATCGGGGTGACTTGCAAGGATGGTTGAAATGGAAGGACGATGAAGTCGATCAGGATGGCAATCCTTATCAGTAATCCTCACCCTTCTCACCTCTGACCTGATCTGGAGAATTGACCTTTTTATAGAGTTCGAGAATCCCAACTGAATCTTCGGAGGTATGTTACTTTCGCCTGTCTGGCAGCAGTTACTTCACAGATGCTAAACTACTTCAAGTGCAATCATGGCTTCCTTGAAGGGCGTTCAAGAGAAGTTTAACAGTATCGGTGGACCAAATCAGGCAATATACCTGGCTACTTGGCAGATTCTTCATGAAGCAATCAAGAGATGGCCATTTGGCGGCCCGAACGGTGGTATAATCGCATGGCCTATCAATATTAGCGAGGCCTACATCGATCTGCTCAAGCAGGGTGATTGGGTGGCTCGTATTCTGTTTCTACACTACGGCGTTGGACTGCATTTGCTCTCAGACAAATGGTTTGTTCGAGACTGGGGCCGTCGTCTCATCGAGACCGTTCTACAACCGGAAGATGAGATTCCCTCGATCTGGGCGAGCACTATCTCGTGGACCAGGAGCGCAGTTGAGCTCGAAGAATGATGGGGTTTCATATGGGTCAGCTTGGACTCAACCAGCCTCAAAAGCTTTAGGTTCACTGAAAAGGACACGATTCATGGCAGATCAGGCCTTGAACTTGGTAAACTCGGTACGGCAAAAGCAAGAGCAAGGAAGCTTGTCATGACGAAAGACGTGCGGCATCGGTATTCCAGTAGCCGTTCCGAGATGGTTGAAAACTGACTTCGATATATCTGGATTTCTTCTTTCTGCTTGAAAGGTGCATCCGAGACCTTGTCTCAATCCAAAGGTGATTCTCTGGGTACGGGCCGCCCGGGAATTACCTCATGATCTGGGACATTTTCTTTCTAAAGTCTTCCAAACGCAGTCTACTCACTTCTAGCATTGACGAAGGGCGCTTCTCGTCAGTATCATCGTTCGGAGTGATCAACGAGAGCCCCAAACTCTCTCTGACCCGAAGAAGTATGGTTGTCTTTGCAAAGCGTCACGGCTACCATACTTCTTTTCAAGGGCGCTCACGAGGACAAGAGACGCGAGGAGAGGCTTATCGCGACCTCCCGTTGACCCCAGATAACTTTTCGGATGACCAGTCATAATCTCGAGCGTGGCCAAAACCCCACTCCAGGTCAAGGTGCATGGTTGACAACAGCAGAAACTCTCCGGCTTTCCGAAACCTGAGCCCTGGTTTGAAGAATGCATCAAGTCGGACCAAATTTTTGCTCTGCTGGGTTCAGAGATTTGATTACCCCAAAGTATGCACGTCACGTTTCAAGGTGAAATTTGATTGGATGAGGCAGGTATTGCGCCTTTGGATGAGCTTGGTGTGCCATCGGGTGACCAGGCCGAAGTGGCGGTTCGGATTGCTGTTGGTTGAGGCTGATAAGGAACCAGGCATGCGGGACTCTGCAGGAAACTAAACTGTCGTGGTCCTTATCGCCGTTGGAGTCAGGATGGTCAGAGAGCCCTCGGCCTCTTTAAATAAACATAACCGGTTCCGAATCTTCTTTGCTTCGTATCCTTCACTTGTCATCCATACTTTCAACCTGTATCTTATCCTGCCTAAGGTAGGCTGACTATTCCGATTGTCGATCCCCGTCTGTCTGGCATCTCGGAATTATAGTGGTAGTTCCAGGCCCATCGTTCTTTCCAGTAACCGCATCCGGCCACCAAGTATACTAAACATGCAGGGTTGCAAACCGGATCTCATCGACAACCAAGATGCAGAGAAGCAGGTACTTAGACGAAGTCCTCCCCTGTTCCAAGAATTACTTCTGGTCTCTAAATTCCTAACCTGCATTTCTCTCATAGCCACTCCTTGAGGCCTCGGAACGCCCGGTCGCGTGCACTCAGTCGGCTTTATCGCACGATAAACCCCGGAATAGGTCGAGAATGTTCCGTATCCTGCGATTTACCCTGTCAACCACACTAGTCTTAATTGTCTTGGTCACACATCTGCCGAACGTACTCACGTCGCCTCTCGACTATGCGACTCGTCAGCTGAGCTGGGACTATGAGTTGGAGGACGGCAAGCGTGGCGCCGTAGCGAGTGAGAGTGCAATCTGCAGTCGCCACGGAACCGATATACTACTACAAGGCGGGAACGCTGCTGATGCTGTGAGTTTCTGAAGTCTATTGACTTAGACGATACGGAGATCCCGCGTGGCAAGGATCAGTTGAAAGTCGTGCTGACCTGAAGGCCGGTAGATGGTGGCAACGATGCTCTGCGTAGGGGTTGTGGGTTAGTCATTCCCCTTCCCTGGCGGTAGTGGAATTTTTGGAGCTAATTTGTCTTGCGCCCAGGCATGTATCACAGCGGGATCGGAGGGGGTGGCTTCATTCTAGTGAAAGACCCTAACGGCGCGTTCGAGTTTATCGATTTTCGCGAAACTGCCCCAGCGGCAGCATATGAGGACATGTTTGTCAACAATACGGAAGCAGCTGTCACTGGGGGTCTTGCAAGGTACAGCTTCTCATCCCACGATGACAGACCTTGGTACTAACAAGATCTACAGCGGTGTTCCAGGCGAGCTTCGTGGTCTTGAATACCTCCACCAGAAGTATGGCTTACTTCCTTGGCCAGCCGTTGTTCAACCAGCAATTAAGACCGCGGATGAGGGCTTTCCGGTTGGCCCGGATCTAGTACGCTACATGGCTTCCTCGATCAGCGACGCGGGCGGCGACGACTTCTTGTCTAATGACCCGACATGGGCAATTGACTTTGCTCCCAACGGAACTAGACTCGGCCTCGGCGATACCATGACACGGAAGCGTTATGCCAGCACCCTCGGGATGATCGCTGAGAAGGGCGTTGATGCATTCTACTCTGGATATATTGCAGAGACGATGGTCAATGCGGTACGAGTAGCTAATGGCACGATGACTCTTGATGACCTTCGTAGCTATGCCGTCGAAATCCGGAACATCTCACAGATAGACTATCGTGGATACCGAATTACCAGCACCACTGCTCCATCTAGTGGAACTGTTGCACTGAACATACTCAAAGTTTTGGATACCTACGACAGTTTCCTCGCCCCAGACAATGTGAACCTGAGCATTCATCGGCTGGATGAAGCCATTCGGTTTGGATATGGACTGGTACGTCTCACCTCCTTCTAGACAAAATATGTCAGGCTCTGTGTGACTGTGGGCTGATTCTACGATAGCGAACAAACCTGGGAGATCCTGACTTTGTGGACGACATGGGAGAATACCAGGGTAACATGCTTGAGCAATCTACTATCGATGAAATCCGGGCGAAGATCTCCGACTCTAAGACGCAAGATATAAAAGCATACGACCCGCGAGGTATTGAAAGCTTGGATACGTGCGTACCTCAATGACACGCCTTCTGAGCCAAGCTAATGGTGTCTGTAGCCCGGGGACCTCTCATATTGCTACTATCGACCACGAAGGCCTTACTGTATCTGCAATCACAACGATTAACTTGCTTTTTGGGAGCAAGATTATGGTCCCCGAGACAGGAATTATCATGAACAACGAGATGGATGGTAGGTGAAGGCAACCAGACCTTATATCTTCTCTGCTAATCTACTTCTCAAGACTTCTCTATTCCTGGCTCATCCAACTCGTTCGGATATGTTCCCTCTGAGGCGAACTTCATCCGACCTGGAAAGCGCCCGTTGTCGTCCAGTACGCCAGCCATCGTGACTCACCCTAACGGCACTGTCTTTTTCGTGGCTGGCTCGGCGGGCGGCAGTCGGATCATCACCGCGACCATCCAGAACATCATCCACGCTGTTGATGGTGGTCTCACGGCGGCTGAAGCTCTGGCTCAGCCTCGTCTGCATGATCAGCTGATCCCTAACCAGGTCACGTTCGAGTATAGCTACAACAACGAGACCGTGGCCTTCATGAAGGCGCGCGGGCACAACGTGACATGGGTTGCACCGACTCAGAGCTCGGCGCAAGCAATCCGTGTTCTTCCGAATGGAACCTTTGATGCTGCTGGGGAGCCTAGGCAGCTGGACTCGGGAGGATTTGCCGTCTGATCGAGTCACTCGCTACCTACGCGGCCCGCGGTCCGGGACTGGCCGCCACATACTGTGAATACTGGAGACTTAGAAGTATATACAAGCATATAGAGCTTGGATGTCATCTCCTTCAAGAACCCCGACCCACGGATCTACTATGCGATAGAAATTCATAGATCTTGACGATGAACGAAACGGAGAGCGGGGATGTAGTCGATCTGATCGAACTCGACAAGAAAGGGACGCTGAATTTGGTCAAAGAAGTCAAAGGGTGCACCAAAAAAGCAATCACTTCGTACAGTTGACTTTTCGTAGTACGTAGTACGATGACGATGATGGGCGCCATCTCTTCCGCAGCCCAATGCAGCCTGAGGCATCCCGGGATCCCCGCCAGAAGCGGTGATGCCTGAGGTGTAGGTGTCGAATGTACCGCTAAGTTTCGGTGGTGAGGTTGATGACGATAATGTTGTTGTTGTTGGTTGGTCTTAATCACAACACCTTCCATTGATTGTCCTGGAACTCTTATCTGCGGTCGAGACCTGGTCCTTTAAATGACCGATCACTTAGTTTGTCTCCTCTAATGTGTGATATGAGGTGGTGCTTCATGCAAGTAGTCTAGTGAACCCCTCCTCGCTGCCCGCTAGAATACTGCGTACTGTACTAGTCTGGTTAGTGGCTCTTTAGTCCGCAGTTCGTAGGGAGTTTCGGGGACCCTTCATCGGGTTGCAATAATCAAACGAGTTGGAGAGGAGTCTGCGGGGAGGAGTCAATCAGTGTGTGTCTGTCTTCTATTTCTTTCCAGTCTAGTCACTCTCACCGCAAAATCGATCCTCCCGCCAAATCTCCTTCCATGCACAGTCACTGCATCTGCAATTCTCTCCTTCTTTGGATCATTGACGTTAACTCACTATACTGCACGATATTCCAACAATTGATTCGTCACTTCTCTCTATTTTTCTGTTCAAGCGCCTGAACTATCTTCCAATTTCCGCCCTCTCCGACCCTTATCGTTCGTTTCCCTCCGCGCCCCTCACGGGATGCTGCATCGGTTGCAGCAGCCCCCTCGGTGGATTGACACAGGCGCCTAATTGGGCATTCGACCACTGGGAATTGCGTTTGGTTCCAGATCTCTTAAGCGCCAGACGACGAAAGTCCGTCCGGCTCTCGGATCATCTGGATCTCCTTCTCGCATTGTGACACCACACAAACTCTTTCTTCTTTTGCTCGCCGTGAGAGCTGTTTAGCTGGGCCTCTCATCCCGCTTTCGCGATCTATAACTCGAGGTAACTACTACAAACGCAATACAACCCGATCGAAAGCGAAAAAGTGGGGACGAAGAGCAAGGAGACAAGGGGTTGTGTTGAGGGGGGAAGATTGTCTTCCAACCTTCCATATCCACCTCGATTCGAAGCCTTCCGCCTGATTTCACACCCACACCCACGTCATGTTCCATCTACCGTTGAGACCTAATGACCGAGATCGCGACAGGGACCGGACTCGCAAGGCATCGACTTCCTCGAGCGTCTCTTCCAAATCCAAACAACACAAGCACCGCTCGTCCCACGGACCATCGTCTACCCGCTCCCCAACCAAGGAACGACCTCCCGACCCTCCCACGGACCGCTCCTCGACCCCTTCGCTCTCCGCCTCTAACACCAGCCAGCAACGTCGTGCCTCAATGCCCGGCATAGACAGCGCCAGCCGTTCCGGCACGGCGTCCTTCCTCGAATCGAGAACCAGCCTCCCTTATCCGACCTTCTCCAAGGCTCACAGCAGGGAAGCTGTCGGCAAACCGAACATCCCGACCCCAGATCCGACCGACCTGACCGACCAAGGCAAAGAGGCAGCTGACGGAGGAAGCCATGATCGATCGGACAGCAACAAGAATGCGCCCCCGAGTCCCCCATTGACGAGCGTCGACCAGCAATCCCGCCAAGGCAGCACGGTGTGTGATAATAAAGACGCGAAGAATACAGAGGAGAAACCGAAGACCAAGATCCGGATTCGAGCCGAATCCACTCGCTCGTCCTCGAGTCTGCGGTCAAAGAAGGATGAAGGGACCAAGTCAAGCAAGACAGTGCGATCGGATTCGACGAAAGCCAAGCGCTCCAGCCATGACAAGGAATCGCCGTCTCGTACAGCTAGCCGCAAGTCCTCCAAGAGCAAGATCGTGGAGGAAACAGCGCCGCCCAAACGACCCTCCAGTCGCACCGCCACGACGCCGCCACGCTCCCCAGCAACCGTACGCGACATTGGTCTCGAATCAACAAATGGGTCGGAGGCTACGACGGTTGCGCCCGCGCACCAGTCTACCACGTCCCGCAAGGTCAGAAGCCCGGAGAAGCCGCCTTCTCGTACCCAAACACGGTCGTCCATGTCTCATCGCCCGGGGTCCGCATTCCGGAGCCCAGTGGAAGATGCATACGATTACGGGCGGCCTCCGACCGCGAACTCAGCCTACGGAGCCCCTCCGCCTCCGCCTCCGCCCCCGGAGGTGCCTATATCCATCCCGAAGGTCGACTACCTTTTGCAGCACGGTGGCTTAGATCATCGCGCGCCAAAATCACTCCTTCAGAGTTTGAGCGGCTCGGAAGCCGCGCCGTATCCCCCAGCGCAGCCGCAACTCGTGGCGAGCAAGATTTTCGAGCCTCTCAATCGGCTCCTGGAAGACTATCAGCATGTTATGACGAAGAACGGCTCACTCGCCGTTGCAACGGGATATCGATCAGTAGCGCGGCGACTTCTCGACCGTTTGGAGGCCGTATTTGCTCGCGATATCTCGTCCGAATCATGCAATTGTCTGATGTGCGAACATGAAGAACACGAGGAGCGCCCAGCGGGCGTGAGCTGGGGAGAGGTTCTTGAATTGGTATCCGGCCGTCGCGAGCTCCCCAACTGGCCACCCTTCAGATTGTCTCCGACGGTCGTGGACCCGGATTGGTCAGGTGACGAGCACATCCCCATGCAGAAACTGGATATCGACGTGCCAGAAGAGTATCGGGAGCATTACATTCGGCAGTCACGTAAGACGAAAGTGGCCGTCGATAAATGGCTCAGTGAGCAGTCTGGTGGAGGCACAAGCGCACCCGATGAGGTTGACGATGAGACCTTGACGTTCGCCATCTTGACCCATCTGGAGCCCGAGGAGCGGCAACTCTTCTCTGCCATCCTTGGAATCAGCTCTACCTCACCTACACCGCGGCCCGAGGGACAGCCACGCCCCCGACCGGCTCCATTGGTGTCCTCGACTCTGGCGATTCAACGACTGTACCGACTGTCATCCCCACCGCGGGACCCTGAAACTGCGATCTACATGCTCAGCAACCCTGGCATGCACCATGTCCTAGCCACCCTAGCGGCGATCAGCGACGATGAATGGGACATTCTCATCTCCGGTCGCTTTGACGGGTTTCTACGCAGTGGCGCCGAGGACTCCTTCCCGTCCGGCTCAACCCCCTCGCGCTATAGCAGCACCCGGTCCAATACCCCGTTCACGACGGGTGGTATCTCGCGGGGTCCAACGCCCAGCCAGCTGGACGGAGTGTCCCGACCGGCCAGCCAGCCCTACGGCACGTCCCCGTCTCCAGCCCCTGCATCATTCGGAGGCCCCATCGCTCTCGATGAGGAAATGGAGATCGCAGCGCTGGCGGAGGTCGAGCGAGACATCTACCTGGGGATGGAGGCGCTGGAAGATGCCTTCGAGGCCCTGCATTGCAAGGCCGAGGTCGTGCGCCGGGCGCTGCGCGAGCGCGGCGCCGGCCTCTCGATCGCGAACCAGAACCGCCGCGGCTCCTTCGTCGAGGCCCGTCTGGGCACGCCCGCCTCCGGCTTCGGGCTCTGGGAAAACGGCGCCGACGACGACTTCTTCCTCGACGATGGCGTGTCCCTGGCCCCGGATGATTCGGCAAGTAACATCAGCTCTAACCGGCGGCGTCGTCCGAAGCGGCGCACGGAACGGCGGACCCCGGCCCCCGTTGAGGAGGAAGACGAGGAAGAGGCATACGACAGTCGACGGGGAACTCGAAGGAGATGAGTTCGGTCTAAGTGGTTAGGTCCTCCTACATGTGTTTTATTCTCCGGGAGCAGTGGACCGTCAGCGCTGTTTCCTTCTCGAGCTTTTCTTTTTCTTTGCATTCTGCCTTTACGATTTGTTTTTGTGTTTTGTGTTTTGTTTTCCTTCTCAAATACAGCGTTAACGACATTTGATGAGCAATGGGGATCTTATTGATCAGATCAAATTCCCCCCGCGACGAATTGCATGAAATGAATCGACATGAAGAGGATGTGAAGGAATGAGGGAATGGTGGGATGGTGAGGAACGGTGCGTTAATTTAACCTCAGTATCTAATGTACCTACCCACCCATGGTGGGTGTGGAGAGAGAGAGAAGGCATGGATTAGTATTCATTTTCCCGACAGCTAAAGGGAAGGAGTTGGGTTGTACATGAGGACAATTGATTTGATATGACTCTTGAATCCTTTCGACTCTTTTCGATTCTCTGCTTTTCCTCTCTTGCTGTTGTCATGTTCTCCGGACATCTAATGTTTTTTTTTTATTTCCCTCTGTATTCTAACAGGCATTCATGAGTTGAATGAATATCATGTTCTATGCGTGGTGAGCTGGTTTATCCTTCGCATGGAGGCTTTGATAGAAGTTCCGGTCCTGAGGTTTGGGTCTTTCGCTGCAAGGCTTCCCGGCTACCGGGTCCTGCACTCACTCACTTTGTCCCCGTTCAGGCAGGTGAGCCCGGGTCCCAGTTTTGTGTGCCGTGGTATACGAAAGAGGGTGGATGAGGGAGTTGGGGTTTAAGGGATGAAAGCTAGTTGCTCTGCTCATCTGAACATCATCCCCCCCCCCCCCGAGTTCCACAGCCCTAGGAGGTTTTATCGGTCTAGTAGATCAACTAAGGTGGGCCGTGGAGAGCCTTAGAGTCTCAACAGGGGAGAAGAGGGTGACTGAGCAAAAGGGTTAGGTTGGGTTAGGGTAACTAAGCCGAGACTACCGGAATCCACGCCTTGAGGTCTGTTTCATCACGGGGTTTCTTTCTTTGGACCTTCTTCTCTGGGGGGTGATGTGAGGACCATCGGCGCTCGAGTTCGGAATCGGATGGTTCTAGGTTGAGGATGATCGACGTGCTGCTGTTGCACTGGACCCTGACCTCTGACCCTGACCCTGACCCTGACTCTGAGGCTGATGGTGGGTTGCGGTAGACTAACTTACTGCCTGGAGTGTGGACCGGAGACGAAAGCAGTAAAGGGAGGGTGGGGGGTTGTTGAATACAAAGGGGGCGGGCTAGATGGGGAAGAGGCTCAGCTCAGGACACACAGGCGACCAGGAACCATTTTTGAGTCGATTGGGTGTTTAGTATCCGGATGGGGTGGTGTGTTCATGTTCTTGAAGCCTCCTGTGTTGATGGAGAGGGAAGGTGCTCGCGACTTTGTGGATTAGAAGAATGTGGATGTCTGCATTGGTCTCGCCGTGTGAGGTCTCGCAGTTTGGCTAGGGTTTGTCAAGGAGACAATTTGGTGGGTGCAGCGTGTAAAGTGGCTTCAGGTACTTGGCAGATACATGATCAGTCCGGAGTATACATGTGCTCGTGTTGAGAAGATAGAAAGAAGAAGAGGTGATGGTGGAAGGACCCGTCATAGCTCAACGAGCATGACACCAAAGTTGGTCGATAGATATGATTACTTCACAGGCCACATGGCTGCGTGGAACCCTGATCTCGTTCAATACGAGAGCGAGATCTCGGAAGCTTTCCTTCAGCCAGGCAAGGAGGTAGACAGACAGACAGACAGACAGACAGACAGACAAGACGCAGGTCCGATCGGAAGCTGCCGTGCAAACAAACTTCTCCCTGCCTCCCCATTGGGCTCGACTAAGACTGCCGTCGGTGCCGCTAGTGAAAGTCAAAGAGAATAGCTCTGGGCCCCGTCCTGGGGGTAAACTACAGTAACCTCACGATATAACGAACTAATTGAGACGGCCCTTTTTGTTCGTTATATCGAGATATTCGTTTTATCGAATGTATGTAAAAGACCCTTCACGTGATTTAGGCTGTTTTAAGAAATATGCTGACTAAGCAGTTCTTTTTAAATCTTCAGATTTTCTTCTAAAAAATCCCTAAAAAGTCCCTAAATAGGTAATTATACTCAATCGATATAACGAACCTTGTATGTAGAGACAGAATCATTTTACGAACTTCGTTATAACGAGATATAGCGAATTTTGTATGGTAGAACCTATCCAGCGGTTCTTGAATTCGTTATATGGCAAAAATTCGTTTAATCGGGATTCGTTATAGCGTGAGGTTACTGTAGGAATTATGGAAGACTACAGCAATTTCAAACAGAGTTTTTCTCTTTCGACCCATCTTCCGCCCTGTGGGAATTACCCTAGATGCTGAGAAGGGAAATTCGGTGCCACCACCTGTCGGGGTCTCGCCGATAGAGAGGATAACATTGACATTGTATCATTTGGCTGAAGCATTGTCATTGGCGCTTGTTCTTTCCGAGGAGAAGGGGCAAAGTTAAATTTCCCGTGTCTACTCGTGATAGATACGCGAATTATGTTGGCATTTTGTCTCTTCGGTTCTGGTTGAGGCTGAGGAGCCCTGAGATCGATCTTCGTGTGGGAAAATCAGGATGTGGTCCATGTGCCGTGTTTGATCCACTGCTACCACGGTTGAGGATGCGATGGGAAAGCCCACAAGGCACAAGCAGTTCGACCACGATGCGATGCGATGCGATGAGATCCAGACCCGCACAGTGTGCAGAACTTCGATTCAGGGAACCATGTCGATCCGCGAGCTTTGACAGTTTCTATGTCGACGATCATCAAATCCAGTGCGGATGCAATGCCGAGTCGGAGCTGCAGGGTTGAGATATCCGGTACTATGGATGTGTACGCTCGCAGCAATTCAAGGTAGGTTAGGTGGGCTCTCGCAGCCACGGCACGCACGACGATTTTACGAGGCCAGAAGCTATCGGCAATAACTGCCGATGTCATAAGTCATGTTGTAAGAAGGAGATCAGCCACAGTGGCCATAATTGGTTAGTGTCACTCGAGAGGTTTTATGAAGGCCTGAAGCAATCGGACTTGCCGCTTGGAACCAGTTGTCTTTCTCTACTCGAACCGGTCGGGATGATGCCAGACAGGCCCGAACCAGCGGGCAGCATTCCATGGAACCTGCCAAGAATTGCAATGCACCATTCAACTCGAATTCGAAAGGGGTCAAGAAAGGCAGTCAGATCACGGGAGGCTTTTACTCATAACAAAACTCCTATCGTGACTCCGTGAGGTTGCGGGATTTATCTGCGTTGTGTAGCGGAATCTATAAGGATGGACTAGACTATGGGGTGCAGCAGACTTCGGGAAAGGTGCCAACAATAGAAAATGATTGTCGCTCTCGGATGATGTGGATCTGGGCTAGCCACACCCTATTTCCTAACGACGACAATGATGCGCGGCTGAAGAAACCGCAGATCTGCGCTGCAGTTTATCAAAGAACTTCTTTTCACTAGTGTTGTGCTCGTGGATGTTGGGAGATCAATTTGACCACCGATGACGGCCGCATCACTGATCAATCAATGCACCCTCTTCGACTCAGGATAACTTTTGAAAGAGCTCATAGGGCTAGCGAGCAGGATTGCTGGTTAGATGCTTGAGTAAGACATCGCCCCCTTACGACTTTTAAGAGAGGTAATGAAGAGGGTCTCGAATCGAGCGGCGATATTCACTGCCCCTCGGAAAGAATTACTCCGAGCGGTCACAATGAGTTGCAGAGTCACAGGTGCCATAGGATGCACGATGGTTTGCCAGATCCCCCAGCTACCAGATCTCTCTCGCTGGTGCAACCATGGGAGATTCAACTTGACCGATAGCAGAAGGTGGAGGGGGAGGGCAGAGTTCGTGCAACCAGATGGTCCAAGTGCACCCCATGTCCATGGACTCGGGAAGATTCCGAAATCATCCTTGTCCCTTGCATGACTAGCAGAGTTGAATAGATCAGAGCTTGTATGCATGTGTACGTACTGGTGTAACTAGGAGTTTCTGGGGAAGGTTGAACACCCAACCAACTCCATGGTGTCGGTAGAGGAAGGAACGTTCAACAACCGAGATCGGCATTCAAGCCATAGGGCTCTTATTCAAGCCAAGAGACAAGGGGGGAGCTACTGCGTAGTGTACCGTGCATGTGAATCTGAGTAGGTGGAAAGGGCAGAAGGAGCATATCTCTGTGGGTATTATACGAAGACAATGCGGCAGTTCAAAGTCATATTGATGGTTTACAAAGCCGACCAGGGATTGTGGTGCATTGAGACAACTGAGAGTCTGATACTGATGCATATGCGAATGTACATTGCAGTTCTTGGGCTGTCGAACTGGCCGAGCCATGCCCAGTCGGTTGGCTCAACCGAAAAGACCAAGGCCTCCTGTAAGTTACTATCACTGGTACTGCCCGCATGTACTCCGTACATGCTAACCCAAAGTGTAGGATCCACGAGCGTGAGGCAAATCGTATGCAACGTTATCAACAGTGACAGCTTATTTGTTCCTGCGGCCGGAAAAAGTGGGGAGATGCCAAGAAATGGTCGGGGATAACCGCCCTCACCCATACTAAGAGTAAGTAATCTCCGTCCGCTCCCTCTTTCTTCCTTTCTCTCCCTCTCCTTTGACTTCCTTCCCTGATAACTACGCACTATCAGTTAATAATCAATCACCGCTAATCCCCATTGCGAGAATGGTCCAGCCTTTCTCTCCTTCATGTAACCTTCCTGGTGGCGGACTAGCCACTTACGCCAGGAGACAAGCTGAGACAACGGGGTCATACCACCACCACCATTACCACCGCCACTGTTTTGCTACTCAAAGAGCCTAAACTATGCGATCGCACAATCCTATTCTTATTCTCAACTCACTCGTTCATCCATTCGCCTTGTGCCAAGCCTCCGTATTACCTCCTACGGTAGTTCCAGAGACAAAAACTTACTCGAGTGCCCCCAATCGGGGAGGTCACGTCAAAAGGCTAGGTGT